TTTTCATAGATCAGGGGAGGGGGTAAACAGAGAAAAGAAGTATGACAACAAAAACATTCATGGATCGAACACCTTCTGTGTGCCAAGCACTGTTGTAGGCATTAATGATAGGCAGTAAAACTATAGACAAAAATCCCTGATGTGAGGGGGGTGGACAATACACTTAAAATAATAAAGAAATAATTTAGTGTCTTAGAAGGTGACAAGTGAAAAGGAGAAGAATAAAGCGGAGCAGGAGGAGAGGAATGAAAGGTCCTGCGGTGTAGATAGGGTACTGGTGCTGGTAGAAAGTTCCCTGAGTAGACCCGATGAAATGAGAGAGGTAGTAGTAAAGCTCTGGGAGAAGAATGCTCCAGCCAGAGGGGAAGGGCCAATGCAAAGGCCCTGAGGACGGAGTCTGCCAGGCAGCGAGGCCAGTGTAGCTTGGGGGCGTCAGAGAAGCTTTCAGGCCGTTTAGAGCCCTGTACGGAACGCTATGTTTTATTCCGAAAGGGGTGAGACCCTGGACGATGAATAAACGAGGAAGATAATTTCGGCCTCTGTTCAGTGCCTTGAAGAAAACAAAATAGGACGGGATAATAGGGAGGCCTGTGCCAGGGTGGTCCAGGAGAGCGTCCCTGAGGAGGTGACCCTGGAGCTGAGAACAGAAAGAGCAGAAGGAGCCAGGAATTCAAAGGGGTGGGGGAAGGGAGAAGGAGAGAGATCAGGCCTCGGGAAATGAAACCAGAAGCAAGCCACCGGGGCCGGCAGGCCTGGGGAGGAGCCTCCGCCCGCGGGGGAGGGGGAGGGGAGAGGGAGGGGAGCGCCCCGCCCCCAGCCGGCCGCCCGACCCGGTCGCCCCACCCGGCCTCTGGGGAGGGAGCAGGCGCCGGGCCGGCTCCCGCAGCCGACGCCTCCGGGGTATTCCGCCGCCCCGCCCGCTCGGGGTGGGGGTTGGGGGTGGGCAGGTGGGAGGAGCCTGCCCCGCCAGCCACGCCCCGCGGAGGCCACGCCCCATCCCCCCCCCCCGGGGCCCGGAGGAGGGCAGTTTGGGGAAGGTGGACTCTGCCCTCAGACCCGGTCCCTCTGCGGGCCAGCCTTTCTATTTCTCTCATCAGTTCTTTAACCGGGCAGGAGCTGGGCCTCTCTGAGCCTCAGTTTGTTTATCTGGAAAGTGGGGGCGCTCCTTATACTGCCCTCACGGTGGTACTAGCAAGCTACACGATTCCTTTTCACTCGGTTATCTGTAAGGCAAAGAGGGCCTCTTAAAAGGTGAGTCAGGTCTCATCCCTGCTCTGCTCAGCAGCCTTCCATGGCTTCCATCTCATTCGGTAAAGCTCAGTCCTTCACTTCATGTCCAAGGATGCTCTCTTCTTGTACACCCTGCTCCAGCTACACTGACCTCTTCAGGGTCCCGCAAACACTCCACTCATGCTCTGACCTCAGGGCCTTTGCACTAGCTCTTATCTCTGACAGGATCGTTCGCTCCCCCCCCCACCCCGACTGACATGACTCACTTCTCACCTCCTTCAGATCTTTACTCCAATGTCACCTTGTCAGTGAGGCCTTCTCTGGCCATCCCATTGAAATGACAACACCCCGGGGCGCCTAGGTGGCTCAGTCATTAAGCGTTTGCCTGCGGCTCAGGTCATGATCCCAGGGTCCTAGGATCGAGCCCCACAGCGGGCTCCTTGCTCGGCGGGAAGCCTGCTTCTCCCTCTCCCACTCTCCCTGCTTGTGTTCCTGCTCTCACTGTGTCTCTCTCTGTCAAATAAATAAATAAAATCTTAAAAAAAAAGAAATAACAACACCCCAGCCACTTTCTTGCTTTCTTTTTCTCTACAGTATCACCTCCTAACAGACTGCATATTTTACTCATTTTTCTATGTATTTCGGCCTTCCCCAACTAAGCTGTGTGAGAACAGGAGCTGTCTATTTTATTCCTGTGCCTGGAAGAGCACCAGGCCCACAGTAGGCACTCAATAAATGTAAGCAATTATTGGAATCCTTGGGGTACATCGGGTCCTCCTTTGCGTGGTTTACACAGTTGCTCGGTGAGGTAGGTACTACCGGAGGCCTGAGGTTGGGACATGCTGGTGTGTTTGAAGAACTGTAGAGAATGGTATAGCTGGAGCACAGGAGGGGCAGGGAGCGGGTAGCGTGAGGAAGATGAATTCAGAGAGGTAAGAGGGAGGGTTGACCGTTGCAAGGTCGGGAGTTCATTTTTTCAACAATAGAAAAAAAAACAACATCGTTTTTGAGTGCACACCTGTACTGAGCATAGTTCTATGCACTGGGGCATAGAGCTGGGCTAAGACCAGCAAAACCCCTCCCTCTCAGAGTTGCTAATAGACCAGAAGGCTAACCATAAACAGGTAATAAATAACTTGAGATAGGATAGGTGCTACTAAGAAAATCAAATAGAGTGTGGTGGGGGGATATGCACCTGGATGTGTTGAGCTACGCAGGGTAGGGAAGACAACTCTGAGAAGGGGACATTTGGATTGGTGAAGCTGTAGGAGAAATGTCCTCTGGGCCATTAACAAGTGCAAAGATCCTGGGGCGAATGAGTTTGGGATGAAATGAGACCAGTGTGACTGGAGGTGAGGAAGAGTGGGAGATTCAGTTGTGAAGTTAGGAGCAAGATTGCCAGTCTTACAGGCCTTGGTGAAGTTCAGGTTTTATGCTGGGTATGAGAAGTCACTGAGAGTTTTAAGTAGGGGTAAGGTATGATCCAATGGGCATCTATACTGAGATGTGAAACACATGTGCCTTGAGCTTCTCATGACCATCTCTTCTCGATGTTGATTGGCACCCATTGGTCAGCTACCCCACTGCTTTCAAATTTAGATGCAAAGCCCCTCTCTGGGCAAGAATCTTGGCTTTGGGCCAGAAAGCACAGGCAAAATCCCCCTCCTTTCCTGGCCTGTGGACTCCGCCCTGATGCGGTTCCTCTTTGCAGACCTTCCAGAAAAGTCCCTAATGCTGTGTAAACTCACCTGCTGAGTCTTCAAAGGTCTTTGCAGACTTAGCCAGTATAGCAATATATCACATTGCACCTTCCCAGGCCTCCCTCTTTTCTCCACTCACCAGCCTGGACTTGTACCTCCTAAATAAACCCTTAGCATTGTAACTTCAGCCTGGTCAACAGTTTTCCAGGAAGATCTTTTTTTTTTTTAATAGTTTTAAAGTTTTTTTGTTTTTTTTTTTGAGAGAAAGAGGAAGAGAGCACAAAAACAGGGGGAGTGGGAGAGGGAGAGGGAGAAGTAGGTTCCCCGCTGAGCAGGGAGCCCTACTCAGCTCGATCCCAGGACCCCAAGATCATGACCTGAGCTGAGGGCAGACGCTTAACCGAC